GAGATCATAAAATGCTAAAATGAAAATTATAATTTAAAAAAATAAATGAAATGGAAGATGAAAGTTAAAAATACTGCTGAAAATGGAAGCCTAAAAGCATTAAAGGAACCAGGCTAACTGAACAATTTCAACCCATAAAATTATAACAAACAAAAAAGTAGGCTATAGCAATATTTCTGTTTACATAGTGGCAGTGTAATTTTGAAAGCTTATCTTCATTTCTCTTAAAACACAAAACTCTGGAAAATACAAAAGTGTAGAATCCCACTACCTAAGTATTTTGTGAAGAAAACAAAATCAAGAGATTATGAAATGGAATGAAATCTAGTTCACAGTTTTATTTTTTTTTCCACATGGCTTTGTTCATAGAGTAAGTTCTGAAATAAGAAACTTCAGAGAGTTTTTGGCATATAAAAATATGTACAAAAAGGCAGAGGTGTTTTGGAAAGGAATTTATATATCAAAGGGAGCAAGGATAATCTCAGGTAGGAGTAATCTGTGTATAAAACCATATTAATCCCTTAGATTAGTGAATTCTAGACAGACACAATCCAGAATAGCAGGGGCTTTGAGAATTCAATTAATATGTGAATTATTGCTTACAGGAAGCAACATAGAACTTTGGGGTAACTACTTTCTTAAAAGAAAAAATTATCCAGATAGTTATCAAATGACCCAGAATTGGCAAGATAAAATATTCACAGTGTCCAGGAAACATCCCAGCATTTCTTGAAGTTTAGTGAGCCAATTATAAAAGGAGAAAAAAAATGTTAATCCTAAAATGATAAAGATGTTTAATACCTCACACAGTAGACTTAGAGCAGATATTTTAAAATACTCTTATTTCACTTGGTAAAGCAAAACATACTTAAAATGATTGGAAATCTAGAAATCATCAGGCGAGAGACAGAAATTAAAATTCTATAATTATAAAATCTGAAAGAAAATCAAAGTCAGTGTTCAATAGCAGAAAAGGGTAAAAGATCAATTTAACCTAAGGGGGGAAATTATCTAATTTGAAGTGTAGTGAAACAGAAGCGTGAAAAGTATCTCATGTACCTGTGAGACAGTTAGAATATGTTGGACATATTTCACTAAACTCCCAGAGATGAGCAAGAGTGGACAGAAAAAAGAAAAGTTTGATGAAATAATGACCAAAAATAGATACTGATAAATATAAATCTATGTATTTAAGATTAGCCTACTTAAATCTTTAAAGAACTATTAATCCAGAACTGTTACTGACAGAAACAACACAAAAAAAATTAAACAAAAATAAAAGAGAAAATATCATTCAGGCCTTTAGAAACAGGGAATGGGGCAAAAAGGTGTGATCCTTTCAAAGAAAGAAAGAAAAAAAAAAAGAATTACTAGACCATCACAGTCAAATCTGCTGTACAAGAAGTGAAGAAGAAACTTCTTCAGAAAATAGAAAAATTTAGAATTTCCAAGATAATGAAAAAGTGAAACAAATGGCATGAAATCAATAAATATAATGTTTATTTTCATTTCTTTGAATTATTTGTAATTGTTTAAAACAAATATAACTTTGGATGAGACTGTCAATGAAGGTACATGTAATGTTTATCTTGCTAATAGGAGGATCAGTGATAAAAAGGGACTCATGAGCACAAAATGGAACTAAATCAGTGCTTTGCAGAAATTCTAGTTATGTATGCTTATGTGGAATACATGAAATATCTAAAATAAATTACCTAGGATTCCAATATAAGAATTTTTAGGCATAGAACAAAGTCATGCATGTGTGTGTGTGTGTGTGTGTGTGTGTTTGCGTGTGTGTGTATGTGTGCATGTGCATTTTTAAATAGCGGAGAGAAGTCAGAAATCTTCAAACTAGAGAACACATAAGTTATACAGAATACAAATTACAAAACAAAAAGTTACACTTTGAAAAGATGAGCAATCTTGGCAAGGCTTTAGTTAGAAAATGGAATCTTTTAAACAGTGTCTCATGAACTAGATATATGCACAGAAAAATTGTGAGCAAAGATTCCAAAAATGAACTCAAAATTAGACCTTAATGTGGAAACGTAAATTCATAAAATTTTTTAAAAAGCAAAGATATAAATTTTAATGACATTAATTTAGTTAATAATCATATCTTAGCTATAGCACAAATACTATGATATATAAAAGTCTAATTTGTTATGTTTCATAAATTGAAATTTGACAAAATTAAATTTTTGATCTTCAAATTCTGCCTTAATAATTCAAAGACAATTTTTTATTCCAGAGAAATGAAATTATATACATCCACATTGAATTAAAATTGTTCACAAAATTTTCATAATATTTAATATTGGAAAATATAAAAATAATCAAGATACTGAACATTATATGATAAAATAAAAGAAAGGATTGGTATAAATTACTGATGCACACACACACACATATATATATTAATATATGTTTACTGAAAGCATTCGACATTGACAACTCACACAATGGGATTAGAAATTTTTCAAATCAAATATTTAATAAAGAGTTAATATCCAAAATATTTAAGGAATCAATAAAAAAGAAAGCAAAGTAATTGAAAAATAGGAAATGTACTTGAGGAAACACTTCTCAAAAGAGATTCAACTGTCCAGTATATACATAGAAGAATGTTCAGCATTCCTAATCATCAGAGGGATGCTGATTAAAACCAAAATGAGATCTCACAATTTTTAGGATAGCTGTTATCAAGGAGATGAAAGGAAGTGTTAGAATGCAGAAAAAAAGGGACTCAGAAGGTTCACTGTTGGTCAGAATGGAAATGAACGCAGTCATTATGAAAATTATGCAGAGTCATCAAAAAACAGATCTGCCATGATTCAATAATTTTTCTTTTAGGTATGGACCTAAAGGAAATGAAATAAGCACCTCCTAGAAATATATTTCCTCATGTTTATTAAAGCGTTATTCACAATATTCAAGATAGTGAATAAAATCTAAAAATGACTGGATGAAGTAAATATATCACATACAGAAATATGTATATGAATGTATATATAATATAATGAAACAGTCTTCAGCCATAAAAGGGTTTGCAATCTTGTCATTTGCAACAAAGTGGATGAATCAGGAGGACATTACGCTATGAAAATAAGCCAGAAAGATGAGAGAATATGATCTCACGTATAAGCAGAACCCCCAGAAGTTATCAAAGGACAGGTAGAAGGTGTAAAGGAAAAAGGGGAAATGTTGATCAAACAGAAAATTTTCAGATGGACAGGAGGACCAGGTTCTGAGATCTATGATAGAATATTCAAGTACTTTTTAGGTATTAAATTACTTACATAACTAAAAGATTACAAGAAAAAAAGAATTTACACTGCAATATTTAATCATTTATCTTTTTAGAGCTGAATTTAGTGATGACTAGAGCATTTCAGGTCATTATACATGAGCACTTCACAATGTCTTTACATTTTCTTGATTTGTCACTGAAACAAATACCTACTGAGTTTTTTTGTTTGTTTGTTTGTTTGTTTTGGGGGGTACTGGTCCTTGCACTTGCAAGGCAGGCCACCCAACCGCTGAGCTAAGTCCCCAGCCCCCACCTATTGAGTTTTTATTTAAATTTCTATCAATCCTACTGTCTTAATAAGGTACTGATTCTAGGACTAGCATACAACCTGGTCCTAGAATTCTAATATTAGCCTGTTATTCATGAGCCATTCTAGACTCCTTTGTGCTTAGAAATATCAATAGTGCTAATGTACCATAAATTTCTTTTTTTTGAATATTTGAAACAGAGACTTGGTTGCAATCGTCTGATATATTAAGTGAGTTATAAATTATTTTAAAATTGAAAGGGTGAAAGCTATATATTTCATTAAGAGAAAATGTTGCGTGTTGCTGTTTTGATAGAGGGAAGAGGCCAAGAACATTCCGACAAATTTCTCTCCATAATAGTTGGGTGCTTTATAATGTAAATCATGCATTGGAATCTTTTGTTCAATTAGATATATATTAACGAAAAGTATAAAGAAATGAAATTGTATTTCAAATATACAGTTTAAAATTATAAAATATAAACAAATGTGCCAAATATGAGAATGTTTCCAATGTGCCTACAATGTTATTGAACTGCAAAAGAAACATATTATAGTTATGTGAAAATAAAACCATGTTAGGGAAAAAAGAGCATATTTTAGTAAGTTATTAGCATTACTTCCTCTGTTGTGCGTTATTCATAATATCAAGTCTCATGTTTTTCTTTTAGGAATTGTGATGGCAATAAAATGACTTTCTTAAAAGTAATCTAACATTAGACAGATTATAAGTATGCAAAATAATACATATAATTTATTTATGTCAGTTCTTGATAAAATATTTTATTTCTAGAGGCATTATCAGTAGCAAATATATTTCCTTCACATTTACTATTGTTTCCAATTAATATTAATAGAAATGTTCCAGTAGAAATGTTTTGTTAACAAGACAAAACCCGCCTTCCCATTAAGAGCTATGTTTTTCAAGCATCAGAAACCCTCGCATTTTGATGATTCATAAATATGTATTGAGAATGATGTTAAATTTCTTCCTTTTAGAGGAACATATTTATCAAATTATTTTGACATGTCACAAATAGAAAGATATAAGATAGTTCATCTAAACAACTTGAGTAAGAAATAAAAACATTCATTGCTTTGTTACATTATTAAAAACTACATTTCAACCAAGTATTGGGAACTAATAGTCCAGCTGCAGCTGTGTTTATGGTGAAATCCTGCCCCCTCAAAACAAGGCCCCCTGAGAAAACAAAAAGCAAAAAGAAGTCACCAATTTCAGGATGGACAATTAAATATAAAACACTGCAAACTCTCCAATTATATACAGTAGATGTCTGTAATAACTGACTTTGAATAGCTACATTCTTTCTGATGCCTTTTTAAACACTGAAATATGAACCATTGTGTACATTTAAAAGTTTTAAACAACATTCACCTTTTCAAAGCAGAAAAAAAGTTTACGAATTGAAAAGAACTTACATTCAATATCAAGGTACATGCTCTTTTGGTGCCCTCCAATTCTGCTTGCAGCTTCGCAGTCGTATCGCCCTGAGTCTGACAGCTTCACATCTTTAATATGCAGGGATGAGCTTCCATGCTGCCCTTTGATTTCGATACGGCCATCTGGGCTCTGTCCACATCGATTCGGGAAAAAGAAAGATTTATGCTTGTTTGTGCAAAACGACGGCCAAACTTATGATAACCATCACATACACACATAAATGAAAATAAACTCTTTATTAATTTTTAAAAAGAAGTGTTTCTGTATTTTTCCTTTATTGATTTTAGTGAATCCATTTTACCTGCCCACCTGATTACCGAATTTTAACACATAAATATTTGTATGCATACTTTATCACCCACTTTTACTGAGTCTGCTGTTTGCGTTTTAAAAAGTTTGCATTTTTGCAAGGATTCTGTTGGCTGCCAGTTTTATTGCTGGAAAGCATAACATAAAAACATTGCTTATTCATTTCTGTCTAACAGTTGCCAATGAAAACGATATTTTTGCTTCATTTGATTGCATATTCTTTCACTTAAAATGTATCAAGATAAAACTTTTAAGGGTAATTTTTAGATTTCATTTTTGAGTAAGTAAAAAGCACTAAGCAAAATTTGCACTATATGCACCATAGATACATTATTAAAAATACAGTGATCCCCAAGTTGTCCTGAGAAGACCACTGAAAATTATGAAAATAATGATTTACTCCAGGAAGCTTGATTCAAATCATAAAATTGATTTCAAACCAATAGATTATGCTGCACATATAATAGGAATTCTTCCATACAACTTAGTTAGCATACCTAGAAATGTTCTTTTCAATTATTTAAACAACTTTATAGCAGTCATATAAAAACAAAAATAATGCATTCATTGAATTCTGCTTCATACACTCAGATAATATAACATTCTAGTCTTTGAAAATTCAGGGACATCTATTTACTTTTTTTTTTTTTTTTTTTGTGGTACTGGGGATCGAACTCAGCAAGGCAGGTGGAGGAACCACTGAGCTAAATCCCTAGCCCTACTATTTTTTAATTGATTTTTTTCAAAATCTGAGATTTTAGTTTTTCGATAAAACATTGTATGTCACACCTATGTTGACAAATTTTATAATAAAGTAGTTGATTTATTTTCTGTGTAATGGAAACTCACATAAATTTTAATACCAGTGTGTACACTGTGTCATAAAATCCTAGTATATGTTTACTTTTGTACATATCAGAATATTATTTCAAAACAATTTTTCAAACATTGCTGCACTTTGTATTGTTATTTTTATGTATGAATTTAGTCATTATATACTCTTAAATCTTTTTTAGTTATTCCTAATTTATTATCAGGAAAATGCTCCTCAAAGGTTAAAAAAACTCCTTAGATCAGGATTTACACAGCAAAAATAATCTATGTTCCCTACAATAGTTAAGACTGTTAACTTGATTATTTGGGAGCTTGGAGTAGGAAAGCACAGTTCTAGGTGTGCCTGGGTACCTCATGGAAGTGTGACCTTGGATACTAACATGGTCCTTGGCCCTGTGTCTCTGGCACTGTTCCTCTGCTCTGCTGCTGTGCTGCCCAGGCCTTTTCACTCAACACTGTGTTCCCTCTGCGAAGACAGTCACAGATCATGGACTGAAATCTGAAAACACAAGCGCCCTTTCTCCCTTTAAATTCTCAGTGTTGGATACTGGGTCACAGCAATGGGAAAGCTGACTAACATATTTCTGATCACTCAGGTACTGCTAAAATAGTAGTAATGGTAGGTTCTCAAGAAATAAGGCCTTCTCTTGTACCAACTGTTAAAAATGTTCCATTTCTGACACCATACAATTAACTGATAGGAAAAGAAAAAAAAATCAAGAATCAACAGACATCAAAATCACAGTGAATACAACCAAAAGCCAAATTACCAATTTTGTAAACCTCATAACTACTTCTCAATAATTAAAAATGTACTCTTTGGCCCATCCTTTGCCCTGGCTCTATTCTTAGTTGGAGGCTATTAAAACAGGTTTTCTTCAGCCTGGGGATTTAGCTCAGTGGTGCTGCTGCTGCCTGTTGCACAAGGTCTTGATTTCAATTCCCTGGTACCGCCAAAAAAACAAAAAAACAAAAAACAAAACAAAAAAAAGTTTGCTTTTTAAAACACTAACTTTTTCTTTCATTAAAGCTTTCATTAGGACATGTTGCAGTACAGAATGGCTCCATCCATCATGGAGAGTGGATACCTGCACATAACAAATCTGAATTCTTTTTACTTCCCCATTCCCTCTTGTACACAGCACTCATTTCTGGACTTTCACAGCATCACCGCCTCCAGGTTTTCTCCCAATTTCATGTCTCTGATCACTACTCAGGTCAGAATAAGTCCCTGGACTGCGGCAAGGACTTTGTTCTCTTTTCAGTCAATACACACAGTACAGGGACTGTCATCCTTGCTCCCATCGAATGTAGCAAATTTCCGTCATTTTCTCCAGCTAACATCCTTGTCCCGTTTCCCTGAAGCTTGTAGGGCACGATCATTTGGTGCAATCAAATCACCACGTGCAGGTCTGAAATCATCACCACCCTAACCCAGCACAATCATCTCTTTCTTCCATGGCGGATGCTAATTATCTTCCATGCCCCATGCTGTCTCATGTGCTTAGGCTTCATCCTTTCCTGAAATTTATATATTTTCTAAGTGCTGAGAGATTTCAGTTTGGTTTATCATTTTCCATTTCAGCAACTACCGACCTATCTCTGTTCCTCCTATTCACAGTCTAATTACACTGCTTTGAAGGTTATTGACAGATTTTCCTGTATTTCCAAGAGGACAGTTACATGTTTCATCACATAGCATAATAACTGTGACTGGATAAATATATCACTTGCTTCTGCTGCTGCTGCTCCTTGCTGCCTTCTGTTTGCCATGCCATGACCTCTTTCCCCTCTGTGGTGCCCCTCTGTTAGCCACCCTGCTTTGGAACCAGCTGACTATGAACACAAACCTCTATAAACTGTGAATTGAAATAAACCTTTCCTCCTCTAACTTTGGGTGTCAGACATTTTGTTTCTGCAATAAGAAAAGTAACTAAGACAATGTTTATCCAAAGTTATTATCGATGTAACAGAAATTATTAATAAAAAAATCCTAGAGACACAGAAACTTTATAAAATATGCAATTCATTTAGTAATTGTAAATCCATTTCAGATTTAATATTATCTTTGCAAAAATGTACTATATACTTTTCACTAATATACTAGAATACCAAAGTCATTCCTTCACCTGACATTGTAAAGAACATCTTTGTGCTACAAAAAGGCACTGCACACATCTGAAATAAAATTCATCTAAAACTTTGCTCTGATTCACTACCTACTGAAGATTAACTTAGGACACTTGTTATTTAATTAAGACAGGTTAATGGGCATTTTAGCTATCTGTCCACTATTCAAGGTTCTAATACAGAATTAAGTAAAATGATTAGAAAGCAAAGTGTCTCATTGTACATTATTATTCCTACCCTTCACAGAAATTCACTTCTAAAATTTAATTTATGTCATATTCTCTGACATTTATTAGGTAAGTTTAAAACTACTTTCTTGAATAGCATCTCAATGTATATAAAATGTTTATTCTTAAGAGTTTACTCTCCTTTAAAAAAAAAAACCTTAACCAAATATCTTTACCATAGCCACCTTGCTATGTTTAGTTCTCATTTAATTTGACAATTTTAATTATAGCACAATTGTATTGTACGAGGTGTCACAAAATAACTTTACCTGGTTTATTGCCAAATTTAAACCTACTGCAGATCACAATGTGTTTGAAGTGATCAATATTCCTTCTCTTTTTTTCACATTATACCATTGGACATTTTAAAAAGTATTGACCACACTAGTCTTTTGACAAAAATGTGTATTATGTAAGTCATTCAACTATTGTGCAGCATTTTGGGTCGCTTATCATACAATAAACAGCCACTGAAGATGAAGTGCTGAAGAAACTGAGAAAGGGACTATCCTTAAAGACACTAAACACATAATGCAAATATTAATTTTTAATTACAGTCAGATGAACTGTCCCACATGGGAACCCCATGATTTCATTTTGGACATCAGCGATGGAGCAGTGAAATCAAGCCAGATTGATGTCACCCAAGAAACAAGCATGGCCTGAGATTTGAAAATGGTGAAAGAGGTGGTGTTGAGGAGTGATATACTAGCACATGACCCGAGAGGATATTTGAAACAACTCAAAGCAGCCAGCAGATGCACAGAAGAAAGGAAAAGTATGTGGACTCTCCTGATATTGGGCACTGAAGCACTGCATAGAAAACCAAAAGCAAATGTCACACAAAAAACTTGTGAATCATATATTGCACCCCTGAATCATATATGGTTTGGCTCATTTCTAATAGTTTCCTGACTTTATGAACGTCAAACAACTCCAATTATCCACAGATAAAGACACAGATCAACTATTAAATGTGTAAACAGAAAAATAGACTCTCTAAAGAGGTTATACAAGGGCCGGGGATTTAGCTCAGCGGTTCGGTGGCCTGCCTTGCAAGCTCAAGGACCCGAGTTCAATCCCTGGTACCAAAAAATAAATAAATAAATAAATAAATAAATAAATAATAAATAAAGAGCTTATACCATTAAAATTTCCAAATTACTTCAAAATTGCATTAATATCGTGTTGGCTACAGTTAGCACTATACTATGGTCTTACCAAGAATATTAAGCAGAAAATTTATCTTCCCTCTTTGTAGGAATTCTATATTTAGTATTAACATTAATTCTCTTGTTTCTGGGCCTGCTCCCAGCTTCCTAATTTTCTTTTTATTTTGATTTCATGAACTGAACTCTTGTACAATTTCCCTTCCTTCAAGCAGTATAAATGATATAATAAAATATATTAAATGCAAGAAAGGTTCTTAAGAAATTATGCATAATCATCTCTCCACTAGGTCCCAGTGTCATTTTCTTTGCTTTAAATATACAATTTTTTTAAAATATAGGAGCTCACTATAATAATTATGAATATAACTATAAAATTTAATGTATATGATAAATGGTACTTGTTACATATCAATCTCTATACACCACACAGTTCACTTAATCCCAATAACTCCACTAG